TAAATAAATAAATAAAAAGGTGATGACAAGGGCAAGATCGTTTCAGAGGTGTGAATCTAATTACTCGCCGAGTTTACATTGTTGTCTTGTTCTGAAAATGTTCTGCAGCACAAGAGTGGAAGATGGCTGGAAAATTACTATTCAATGAGTGCTGATTTGTTTGTAATGCGCGTTGCAAGCTAATGCCATAGAAAACTAGAACAGCAATGTATTAACAAAGATTTATTTTTTTCTTTCATGATTATAGGTCATTTTTTGATATACTTTTCCTAAATGGTAATCACAGATATGGGACCACATATTCTTACCTTTACTAGAAGACCAAAAGACTATCTTAAATGAAAACCTATCGAGAGGACTACAAGTACCGTGTTGCATCGCTATTCTTTTGACAATAAGACTGTTTTGAAGGCAGAGGCAGACAGGCAAATAGCGTTTGTAGAAGGAAGCACATGGCAGTCTAGATATCAATACAGGTTCAGTCCTGATAAAATCCCTAGTAGACTGCTAAAACATAAGGAACATTTAGAAATTCATTTTACTTTGAAATTTGCAGAATTTGGTTGCTGCCATCCATTTTTAAATGGAGTAGCGCCGCTTCCTCCAGACTAAAGAGGAGAGGGACCTTCCGCCTTTTTATCAGCGCTCAGTTCACAAGCCTGCAATCTCTGATGGTATGGGGGTGCATTAGTGGGTATGGAATTGGCAACTTGCACATTTGGAAAGGCACCATCAATGCTGAAAGATTTTAGAGCAGCATAGGCTCCCATCCAGACGAAGTCTTTTTCAGGGAAGGCCTTGCATATTTCAGCAGGACAATGCAAAACCGCATACTGCATCTATGGCAACAGCATTGCTTTGCAGTTGAAGAGTCCGGGTAAGTAACTGGTCTACCTGCAGTACAGACCTTTCACCAATTGAAGATATTTGGTGCATCTTGAAACAAAAAATACGACAAAGATGACCCAGGACTGTTGAGCAGTTAGAATCCTATATCAGGCAAGAATAGGACAACATTCCCATCCCAAAACTCCAGCAAATGGTCTCCTCAGTTCCCAGACATTTACAGCATGTTGGTAAAAGAAGAGGGGATGCTTCACCGTGGTAAACATGGCCCTGTCCCAACTTTTTTGAGACGTGTTGCTGCCATCAATTTCAACATTTTTGTTTCTTACAATGGTACATTTTCTCAGTTTAAACATATATTAGTAGGTTATTATTAGGTTTATGAGATTTGCAAATCATTGCATTCTGTTTTATGTGGATTTTACACAGCGTCCCAACTTTTTTGGAATTGGGGTTGTAAGTCCCAAGGCAAGAAACTCTGTCAGACCGGAGTTAGAGACCACACTTTGCAGTGGTGTCTTGGCGCAGCAGTGTGGCTTTACATATATTTGGAAATGCATGAAACAAGTCCCCCCGTTTTTTTTATGTAAATTATTTGTTTTTGTGCTGATGAGCAGCTAAGTGTGCTGGGGTGCGTTTTGTATTGTATTATTTTGTGAACTGCTCTGCCCAAGTGCCCAAATGAACTTTGCCAGAAGCTTTGGTAAAACTCTAGGCGCCTCTACAATGGCTAATAATGCCAAGAAATACCTGTTGGAAAGAAAAAGTATAAGCAGAAAAATCGGTCAAAAATGGTCAAATGTGTTTTGCATAAAATCTTTATTAAAAAGTATTTACAGATGCAGTTTGATGACATGAGCATGAATAACATCAACCACGATAAGTAAATCTGGTCCTTTTGCATTATGCACACAACATACTATATGATTAATGACCATTTCCAGTTAAACACAAACTTAGGAATGTTCACCTACAGTTAATACAACATTGCCGAGGACATGTATAGTTGTAATCTAATAAAGATGTCCGGCATTATTTATTGACTTGTGTGACAGAAGAAATTTATTTCTGAAAATGTTAACCCTACAAATAGGCTTCTCTTATTGCTCCCTTTTAGTCTCTATATATATATAATTGGAAACATTTTGGTATATCGGTTTAATAAACGCAATAAACACCTGTTGATTTTTTCAGAAACCCTGTGAGTGGATAACTTTCTTTGCACAAGGAGGGGTTACAGAGATGATGAGGAGAGGTATGTGTTCTTTGTAATCCATCAGAAGTAAAGCAGGCAGGGCTGACACCACGTGCTTTGGAATTCAGAGCCAAAGTACACGGTGTAGAAAGGAAGCAGCACTATATTTCTGGTACATCAACAGTTACTTTTCTGTACTTACAGCGTGCTTAAAGGGATAAAACATGGGGAAATGTGCATGTATTGCAGGGGTATAGAAATATGTTCTTTTTTTCCCACAAAAATTTGCCTTGACATACATTTTAAAGTTCCCCTGTCAAGTGAGCTTTCATTGCTGCCCTTACTTTCGGGAAATGCTGGATACCTGGATGTCATGCTTTGGCTTCCCAGTCAGTGACAAAGAACATTTACAGAGGGACTTTCATTCTCAGCATGATTATTCTGGATCTGTTACTTAAAAGTACTGCAAAGGGACAGAGGAAGGCAACCGGAATTGCAAAAGAAGGCCAGTAATGGCAGCCCACACATAGATTTCATTACAGATATACTGTAAATATCTACATTCCTGCTTTCATTTTCCCCATACAACAAGGAAGAATGTACAGAAGAATCTAATTGTTTTCGGGTGGAATACATTGGAACATACCAGACAATGTTACAGCTTCTAAAGGTCTGGCCTTCATATAAACAGCTGATCCCTACTAAGTGGCATCAGTGAAGAGACATGAGAGATAAACTGAGGAATTCATTTTGGGGAATAACTAGGGGTTCAGCTGTTAGAAGAAAACAAACAATTTCCTTTGAAATCAAAGAAAACATTAAACATTATGAAAAATCCTTATCAATGCCACATGTGGCCCTTACATGGGTCAATGAAGTGATCCCCACGTTCCCCCTCTGCACTGTTGACCTGCTGGAGCCCAGAGTTGTAAATCCTGTGTAAGCTCTGTGCCTTTCTGTGTGTTGGAGCTAACACAGGGCTAATGACATTTTCTCAATGCACAATATGGCAATGCCTGGGTCTGGTAATTGGCAGTTTGGGAACCGTGCACTGCATTGTGAGGGGAAGGGCAGATATTGTGAAGAACTGGGTATTTCCAAGGTTTACTTAAACAAAATGGTGTAGGCTCAGGGGTTGTACATAGCATTCACTTGTACATATACACATTATGACTATATAAATGGCCATAAGGTATGAGTAAGAACAGACTTGTGGTGCTAACAAGAATGCTACATAGGACACATTGGAATATTCGCATGCACACAGTGTAAATACTATATATGCATTTCCCCTATGGTAATCTGTAAAGCTGGCCATACACGTATAGATTATCTGCAGATTTTCTATGGTCAGATGGAAAAAGTGCAACAGATTCCGCCGTCTACGCTAAACTGTGTGGATGGAGGAATCTCCCACTGGGCCAAGCTTCTGTCAAAATACCTGAACAATCTGATTGGATGCAGGCATTGTTCAGGTATTTTGACAGCCAGCGGAGCCGACTAGCAAGATACTGAAGTTTGGCCCAGTGGGAGATTTCTCCATACACACAATTACAATTCTAAATACAGTGCCAGAGATTTTTTATTGGTTGGAATGTCAGAGAATTGGAATTTTTTCTTGCGTGCATTTAAATATTTGCTTTGTGTTTTTGCCTTTGATAAAACTCACAGTAAAGGGTGTCGCAGTCAATCTCTGCTATGGACCAATTACTAACATTAGGTCGCCTGTTGTCTTTACCAACACTGATCGTCTGAGAAATTATGCTGTTATTTACTGCGAGTGCATTACAGCTTGCATTAACCACAAAGTAAATGCTGTCTATATGTTTATAGCACCTACAGCATCAGGAAGAATTGTGTGCATCTATTCACGAGAACACAAGGTTCCTTAAAGTGACAGAACAATGACTTAAAGCTTTAACTAGGTAATATAGCAATAATAATCATAATTTACAGAAAATCAGCAGTTGTCCAGTCTACCAAACTATAGTGTTCTACAAAACTTCAAATATTACTCATAACTTACTATGAGAGGGGCTGTAGCACCTCAAACAATAAACTGTACTTAACACATTCATATCAAGTGAAGCAGGAGAGAACCATGGAAACAGAGTGGTGTCATCCACAACCTAGGCAGAAGTCTAAGGTGGTTGGATGCCCGTCGACAAGCTTTGTCCTTCAGTAAACCAGGGGGATAGTGTATTTGGTCAAAGCTGTGCACCTGCCTGTCACTTTGGATGTACTTGTAGGCAGCTGGTGTCTGATGGGACCATGCTGGTTCATACACTGCAAATGAGAGGCTTCTCTATAACTAGTGCAATTCTTCTCAATGTCAATTAAAGGTATAGGGTTCAAAGTGTCTTCTTTGCACGGCACCCTATTCTACCTTAATCTGTATCTGACAGGGAATGTCATTGCAGACTTACATTTATACTTTGAGTCACCAATTAAGAAAAATTTAGGAAAGTCAGAAAAGAGTCATAAGTCTAAAATATCTGCATTATTGTTCAAGGTCGTTAACTCAAAGCCAGAAGCTCAGCATGAGAGCAGAGAACCTAGCTTTTTCTGAAGTTGAGGCCTGTAATGGCAACCTGAGTCTCTCTAATGGCAGGATTCATTTAAGGTTCTTCTATGCATGGTCTTATGTCCAGTTTTCGCATTCTAATCTATTGCATTTTCATCTTTAAAGCTATCACACCATTTTAATCAAACTAATTTCCTGCACACAATTATTTACATAGCAGCAAAGGTTAACAGGCTGGGTTCACTTCTCACACAACACATGTCAATCTAAAATTGGGAACCCGCCTACAGGAGAAGAAAGCACAGGGATTAACTAATGTAAGGGCATTTGCTGCAGTCATTGCCCATGAGATGGGAGAGCGCCATTACTGTGAGTTTGGGAAGATGGGGGTCAGGACATAAAGATAGGGAATACAAACGAGATGCGTCAGCATGGAGCTCAGCTAACTAAATAATTTCTATGGTGGACAATTAACAATTCAAGAGTCTGTACAAAAAGCAGAGTACATACTAAATGCCATTTGCTGTATAAGAGGCAATTATTCTTTGGCTCTGTCTTGCAATACTGAAACTGTTAGAAGGTTTGGAATGGAGTTTTAGACTGAATCAATGAAAATGAACCTAAAATAATTGAAATCCATACTAAATTATTAAGCAGTCTTCCTGTCTCAGAAATAAAAGATGTCTGCACTTTCCAAGATCCAGGTTTAGATTCTACATGTATATACTAATGTACACCCCATACACACACTTATCAGAAACACACAAAACAACACTCTGGTGAAATCTGCCTTCATACAAGCCTATCACCTGATAAATATCCAAAGTTCACATTGTAAAGTTGTATTCTGCAGAGTACTGCCCATTGTAAAGACAGACGTATCAATAACACATCAGTAGACTGTTGGGTACACGCAGAAATCAGCAAGGCTTTCAGTCACTCAACTGCCGCGGTAGATAACAAGTTCTTCAAAAGCTCCTTTGGCAGTTCTAGCAGGTGAACAGGAAACATCACTGATGGTGTAACTTCGATCTCTCTTTATCCTATGTTCTTCTTCTTTACCTGCTTAGGCCGTCGGGCTTTTAGAATGGTGTAATTACCATACGTTGTGTGCCAGCTGGAGACGAATGGGACATAAAATGCACGGAATAGTTTTGAAGACCTGAAAAAGAAAAGATATGTACTAGATTTTCAACCTAAAAGCTGTTTAAACTTGTGTTTTTAGCTAGTATACAGATAGCATTCAAAATCCCCAAATCGTACATTCTTCTAAACAATACGTGATTTGCATATACTAACTTTTATTTCAAGAGTGCCAAGACTGATAACAAAATGAAAAGCCTGAATAAATATAAAAATAACTTGTTGAAAGATTTTCTTATTTTCTCCATTTTTGTCTGGTAAATATACCATTTTAAGTGTTTTGTTCCATCTGTACAGCAAGTTAAAAAAATACCAGTTTATCCTGCCATAAACCAAGTGAGTTTCTAATTTCCTGCAGAGCTGACAACCCAATGCCTCAGTTACACTGAAATCCCAAGTCTTATCAGCCCCGCCGAGGTTACCTCTCGGTGCCAGAGAACACCTTCGCCCCATGTTATAGAGAGAGGAAAGTGTTGTGGTGTCCAAATCAGGAGTGAGCATCCTTACCATCTTGTCTTGAATTGTATTGTAATGTCTTCCTCATATTGTAAAGTGCTGCACAAACTGTTGGAATTGAGTGCAATGACAATGAATCACTTCCAACCATACTCTTGCACCTTGAGACAATTTACAGTATAAATCCTATTCCTTTACCTAGTCAGGTTGAAAAAAAAAAGTCCACCGCGTTAAACCTACAGGTTTATGACAGGTACTAATCCAAGTAAAATGACTATTGATCCTATTGATGTGAGCACATTAATTCCACAATTAGGAAGCGTGTTTAGTAGGGCCTACTTCAATATGACATTAAAGCCTGTAGATGTACACCGCTGGCAAATGGATCATATATTATGTGCTAAAAACTGTGGGGGGAATTTATCAGAACTGGAGCAAACAAAATCTGGAGCAGTTGCTCATAATAACCAATCAGCTTCTCTCTTCAGTTTGTTCAGTTAAGATTTGAAAATAAAAGAGAGAAGCTGATTGGTTGCCATGCACAGCTGCTCCAGATTTTGTCTGCTGCAGCTTTGATACGTTCCCCTCTGTGTATTTTAATAGACGATTCCTAACAAGATATTCCTTTATCTAGGAGTCTGGTTGCTACCCTGCTTACACACTTATCAATAATAGTGCAGGCTTTGCTGAAACAGCATTTTATTTCTAGGATGCCAGCAGCTCCTTCTACAGAATTGTGGCCATCCATCTACTTCTGGTATCCATACACATGCTGTACCTTTTAATCTGGTACATATTATTTCAGCAAGTTTGAGAAAAATGTAGTCGCTTATATAACATACTTAAGTTCAGTGTAGTCGGCTAAGAAAGGCTGCTGTCAGAACAAAGAAGGATTGGCTAGGTTGGAAATCTTCTGCCGCAGCACCATTCCACTCCTTGCAATTGGCTAGAGTGATAAATTCCTTTTGAAACCTTTATTGATGTGCAGAATTAGCATAAGAAACATGGGCCTGCCATAGCCACTATAATGCCACAGGTTTTTCCTGTTCAGCTTTAGATGTTGGATGGTGCACAACTCCACCGTTAACCACTGAACTTATTCATATTTTGTAAAAACTTTTATGTGGATCACTAATTCTCCAGTTAACATGACATCAGAATGTAACAAGGCCATCACTGGTGAGCACTGCAAGCATGGAGTTCACATGAGTATAGCCATAAGTGCTGGTAAATGGGGAACCAAGACAAGGTGAACAGCTGTGTTTACTAGCAGCACCAGCAAAAAACATGTTTCTACTTCTTTCAAGTAGAAGGGATAGAGTGAGATAATCAGTGTTATTCACTTCACCTGCCAGTGATCATAATGTTCTGGCTGATTGGTGTATAGTCACTTATAACAGGCTTGTGGAGACAGAACACTACGAAGACAATTTGGTTTCTATTAACAATTAAGAGATGCTGGTAAATACAGTTCTAATAAAGAGTAAAGATCCACAATGTGACTACTATAGTCACACTTACAGTATGAATAAGAATGGATATACCGCCAGTTGTAGAGCTGTATCTCAGGAGACTAATTACGTAGTGAGTAAGGGATGAGCATGTCATAGCCGGGAGCTGAAACGTCCGTACCATGATACACAGAAATTCTAGCTCTCGCCTTATCTGTAATGAAATGCTTCCTGACAATGAAGTGTCTACACGATGTAATTAGGTGGCTGCTCTCTAATTCAATTACCATCTCCATGTATCAGAAGCTCATATGTGACTGTACAGGACCTGACGTCAATTCAGCTCTATGAATCCCCAAGAGTATAAAGCTTGGCCAACGTGCCTGCAAGCTCTTCTTCATTATTAACCTCTGCTGTGCTGCAATTTGTGCATCCAACTGACACAGCTAGTGAGCTGCTGTCTTTACCCATTACCCAACCGAGACGAAACGCTATGGAATACATCCCCTAGTTACTCAGTGTGGGGGGAAAAAACAATGTAATTTTCTCTGCAGGAAAAGACACGTACTAAGTAGGTACAAATCTTGCATTCCTTGCAAAATCACCATTATACAACTTTTAATATACAAGGCAGGGCTGTCAGCTGTATGTAAAATTATAAATATCCAGAAAATAAAGTGTCTGAAAAACTGTACAACGTTTCCCCATCACTCACAAAAGGTGTTCTTGCTGCTCAGATCAACAAATCCCATTTTTACACTTTCTAAATATACAGTAAAACATGACAAAGAACTTGATGATTGTTATGGATTGCAAAAATAGTTCTTACTTTAGATAGCTTATAAGGTCCACTGCTCTAGCTGCATACTGCATAGGCATTACATTTTAAAACCATGGGCATTCATATAATGCTACCCCCAACTGCCCCTCTTATCCATTATAAGAGCCTTCACTAAGGCTTTCTACAAAGTTTTAATGTGATTGTGGAATTTGTGCCCATTCTGCCAAAATAGCATTTGTGAGGTCAGGTATTGATGTTGGATGAGAAGACTGGGCTCCCATTCGGCATTCCAATTTAAATCAGAGGAGTTCAGTAGGGTTGAGGTTAGGACTTTGTGCACGTCACTCAAGTTCCTCTACACCAAACGCATTAGATTCTTTATGGATCTGAATTTGTGTACAGTGGCGCAGTCATTCTGGAACATTAAAGGACTTTCCCTAAACTGTTGCCATATGGTTGTAAAAGCGCAATTGTATAACATTTCTTTCTATACTGTAGCATTAAAACTACAACAAAAAAAGTTATTACTTTAAATGTGCTACCCTGCATCTGTTAAAATAAAAAGGCAGCCTCTTCTAGAATGCTCACTTTCAATCATTACATGAGCAGTGATCAGTCAAGGAGGTAAAATTCCTGCCCCTGCCACCAAGGAAGTATAGGAAGGTCGTGTAACATCACTGGACAGGCTTGAAGGCCGCAGGATACACCTGTACTCAATCATTTGGAGGGATGTCCACATACTTTAGGTCAGTGGTTCTCAACTCGTGGGTCGCGACCCAAAAGTGGGTCGCGACACCCTCTGCAGTGGGTCGCGGCGTCATGTCTGAATAGACCGGCCTGAGACTGAATAGAGAGGGGGAATTTGTGGTTCAGCCTGTGGAACCTCATGTCAAACTGTCCCCTCTCTCCCGGCCTCCCCCGGGCTCTCAGATAAAGTGGTATGGCCCGGGGAGAGAGGGGACTATTTCCTCACTTTCGGGCCGGCGCAATAATATCAGGAGCCGCGGCTCCCGACAATTAAGTTATAGTTCCGGCCTGCACTGGAGAGTACAGCAGATATCAATCCGCCGCTGTATCTACTGTACTCTCCAGTCCAGATAGTTCAGTCGGCTGGAATCAGAGAAAGTAGGCAGGCAGATAGGGAGATGTGCACTGTGGCAGGACAGGGGACACTGATGGATATTATGCATTCCAAGCCCACATAATATTCATCATGTATATTCCTCACTGTCCCCTGTCATAAATGTATGTTAATAAAATACACAATTAATGTTATTACACAGACTGGGCTCAGAATACATAATGTCCATCAGTGTCCCCTGTCATATTGTCCTCTGTCAGTGCAGAAGCTGGGCAGGTTTGGGGTGGGGGCATTAGCAGGGGGCTCCGCTGCAATTTTTTTACCTGCAGCAGAGCCTATACTAGTGCACCCCTCCCCCAGCTTCTGCACTGACAGGGAACTTTATGACAGGGGACACTGATGGTCATTATGTATTCCAAGCCCACATAATATCCAATAGTGTCCCCTGTCGTAATGTCTCCTGTCAATGCAGAAGCTTTGGGGGGCATTAGCAGGGGCTTAGTAGAGAACCTGCCGTGGTGCCCCTGCTAATGCCCCCCCTTCCCCATACAGACACCCTCACCACCCCCTCCAGGTTCTGCACTGACAGGGGACATTAGGACAGGGTACATTGATGGACATTATGTATTCCAAGCCCACATAATGTCCATCAGTATCAGTGGCGTAACCAGAGTTATGGGCGCCCGGGGCAGACATTCCCCCCCCCCCCCCCATTATATAAACATCCATTGGAACTGTACCCCGCAACCGCCACCCCCACACGTTTTTATTTTAATTTTTTTAAATATTTAATTTGTATTCTTTATAAACTTTTTAAATTTTTTAAATTTTTTTAAATTCATTTACTTTCAGTTGTTTACTGTTCAAAATGTTCATATATATATATCTGAATACTGCACAAGTTGTTTTGTGTAATAAATTAAAATGTTTCAGAACTGAAATCATTTTTGGGTCACGCCTTAATGACCAAGGAAACATGTGGGTCCCGAGGTTACACAGGTTGAGAACCACTGCTTTAGGTCATATAGTGTATATGGACATGACCAACAAATACAAAGTTTTTCTTAAATTAAAATTGTTGCTATTTAACCTCTTATTAACCTCCTAATCAGCCCTAACCAACTCATTTTTCCCCTTCTCTCATAAATTATAATTTTCCTGCTGATTTGTTTTATTTCTGTTTTTTAACCATTAATATTTAAACTACAGTACTTTTTTTTAAACCAAGAGTGATCAAAGTAGAAAAATAG